AATTCTATTTTCTCTTCTATTCACCATGATAATAAATTCCTGATCAAAAGTAGTGTGACAGAAGCCAAAAAAAATACCCAGCTCATTGCATTGGGCACCACCTTTTTTGTTATTCAGCCATGGAATGTGGGCATCACCAGTTGGACTAGCATGTACTGCTCATCCCTCACTGGCCATAAGTGAACCACATGGCTGTGGGTCTGCAGCCAGATGCAAGCCAGACCAGGTAAGGATGGCAGTTTCCTTCACTGTAGGACACTAGTGAACCAGACGGTTTTTACCCCTGACAATCAGCAATGGTTTCATGGTCACCATTAAACTCTTATTTCCAGATTTTTAATTGAATTCAAATTCCACTATCTGCCTTGGTGGGATTTTGAACCCAGATCTCCAGATCATGACCTGGGTCTCTGGCGTAATAGTCTAGTGATAATACCACTAGGCTGCTGAATTCATAACCTTGCATTCATAAAGTGGATTTCAAACAAAATTATCATCTACCTTGGGATATTTTATAATAAGAAAGTGAGCATGCCTTGTCATGGATGGACAAATAAATCTGACAGGGTTGGAAACATGGTTGAAATGGTCACCTCTTCAAATCAATTGTGAACAGCAACAATTTATATATCCCCAGTCTTAATTCCAAGAGTGTTTTGGGCAGATGGGTAGCCAGATAAGTTGCAGAAACATAGGAACATTGGAGCAGGAGTAGGCCTTTCTGTCCCTCAAGCCTGCTCTGCCATTCTAGATCATGGCTAATCATCTATCTCAGCACCATATTCCTACACAATCCCCATATCCCTTGATGTCATTGTTAACTGGAAATCAATCAAATTCTGTCTTGAATGGACAGAATGACTGAATTTCCACAGCTCCCTGGGGTGGAGAATTCCAAATATTTATCACCCTCTGAGTGACGAAATTCCTTCACATCTCAATCCTAAATGGTTTTTGCTCTGAGATGGTGCCTCATCATTCCCAACCCCATAACCAGGGGAGATATTTTCCTGCATTAATCCTTTAAACCCCTTCTTGCTGATGTTTCCAAATTGGCCAGAAAGCCTCAGTGGTTTCCCTGTCCACGCCTGAATTGAAATTGCTCTCAGGCCTGTTTATACATTTTTAAAAATTCATTCATGAGGTATGGATGTCGCTGGCCAGGCAGCATTTATTGTCATATCCCTAGCTGTCCTTAGAAGATGGTGGTGAGCTGCCTTGCTGAACTGCTGCAGTTCATTTGGAGTAGGTCCATCTACAGTGCTCATAGGGAGGAAGTTCAATGATTTTGAACCAGCAACAGTGAAAAAGTGGCAACACATTTCCAAGTCAGGATGGTGAGTGGCATGGAGGGGAACATGCAGGTGGTGGTCTTCCCATGTATTTGCTGCCCTTGTCCTTCTAGGTAGAAGACATTGTGGGTTTGGAAGGCGCTGTCTGAAGAGCCTTGGTGAACAAAAACCCTGCTAGCATTGGTTTGGCAATCTCATAAGGGTGCTACAGCACCACCACATTCACTGTATTAAGGCAGCGCAATGGCTCAGTGGTTAGCTCTACTGCCTGACAGTGCCAGGAACCTGGGTTCGATTCCACCCTCTGCTTGTGTGGAGTTTGCATATTCTTCCAGTGTCTGCATGGGTTCCCTCCCACAATCCAAAGATGAGAGGGTTAGGGTGGATTGGCCAGGTTAAATGCCCATAGCATCCAGGGATGTACAGGCTAAGTGGATTAGCCATGGGAAATGCAGATTAAAGGGTAGGTGGGTCAAGCGATGCCCTTCACATGGTTGGTGTGGATTTAATGGCCTGCTTCTACACTGGAGGGATTCTAAATGGATTACAGGTTTATATGAGCACTTTCAAAGAGGGATGATAGCATTGGAATGCCCTGCCTGCAAAAGTAGTAGACTTGCCAACTTTAAGGGCATTTAAATGGTCATTGGATGATAATGGAATAGTTTAGGTTAGATGGGCTTCAGATTGGTTTCACAGGTCAGTGCAACATCGAGGGCCGAAGGGCCTGTACTGCACTGTAATGTTCTATGTTCTATTTAGACAGTAATGGAAGAAGTTGAGTGGAAATGTAGTTAATGCAGGATATTTTAATGCAATACTCCCAAGGTTATGCACAGGGGAAGTCAAAGCAGAGTTGCACGTTAGGGGGTTATTCCTCAGGGCTAGCAGTCAAGGGTTGTTTACTCTGTCTAGACTTTCTGCGGGAGGTTTCATCACATAGCCTCTCACTCTCAATCTCTCTACCCCAAACTCCCTCCCTTGGTGCGTCCATTCTTTGTGACACTTCAAGTGTGAAGTGACCAGACAGTCTGTCACTTGATCGAATAATTCTTGATCTCCAGTTTGGGAAGGGCAGTGGCATAGCGATAATGTCAACAGACTAGCAATCCAGAACCCGGGGCCAGTGTTACGGGAACAGAAGTAAAATATTGTACAAGCTGAAACTTTGAAATAAAAACAGAAAATGCTGGAGAAACTGCCAGCATCTGTGGAGAAAGAAACATTTCAAATCTGATATGACCCTTTGTCAGGGGTGGGGTCCTGGTTTGAATCCCACCTCACCAGATAGTGAAATTTGAATTTAATTCAAAAAGTTTGGAATGGAAGGCTAACCTAATGGTGACCATATGACTACTTTCAAGCATTGTAAAAACCCATCTGATCGCTAATGTCTTTTAGAAATTTGCCATCTTTACCAGGTCTAGCCGACATGTGACTTCAGATCCACAACAATGTACACATCCCATGAACATTTTTTTAACAAAAATCAAGGTTAAGTTTCCATTCAGTCAATACATTTCCAACAACTAAGCGGAAGTGCTCAAAAAAATGAAACAACAGTATTTTTAATGTTCCGTGATTTTTTTTCCCTCGGTTTTTGGTCACTACAGGTTCATTCCTGCTCATCAGGTCAATCCTGAAAAGTTTGTACCTACTTTAAAGATATCTATTTGGTGTTTCCTATTATAAACTATTTTGATAAAGTTTACAGAAATTTCGCAAGCAGAGAAAAAAAGTTTGTTTCTATGAAGTTGAAGTTGAGATGTTTGGAAACACAAAATTAAGGCATTACCACTGGTAGCAGGGTATAGTTACAACATGAGATAGTTACATGACCAATTTCTATTTTAAAATGGGCACAATAGCCCATAAAGGAAAACAATTGACCAAGGCAGATATAGGACTTTTAATATATTAGCAGTTATCATGCATGCAGCAATCATTTCTCATGAAACAAACCAGAGAGTAGTTGGAGAAACTAGGTCTGGGCAGAGCAACAGAGTTAACATTTCAAGTCCAGTCTTAGTTCTGAAGAACAGTCATACCAAACTTGAAACATTAACTCTGTTTCACTCTCCACAGATGCTGTCAGACCTAGTTTCTCCAACTGTTCTCTCGTTTGTTTCAGATTTCCAGCATCTGCAGTATTTGCTCTTATTCGAGTCATTTCCTGTGAGTTTGACATTTATTTCTTGTAACACTTATCCTGTCACACACATCCCTATTATAAAACAACAAAATCATCCAACTCATTGTGAGCATTCCCATCTGCCAACAGATTATAATTAGTGTGGAAATTATTTGCTGCCGCACCGTACAAATGTTCAGTGTGTTCCAATCAAGTTTAATATCCTTCATTTTATCACATTCTATTCAGTTTCAAATTGTTTAAAAAAATGCTACAAATCTTCAGCATCCCTAGCGGCCTTGTGGAGAGAAAAACCGAGTTAACTTCTTAAGTTAACTTCTCAAACTTTAGTTCTGAAACATTACCTCTGCCTTTCCACAGAAACTGCCCATTGAGACCCTCCACCGTTTTCGGTTTTTATTTCAAATTTCCCGCATCTACAGTGTTCTGCTTTTGCGTTTGTTTATTTGAAATGGGTTAACACTCTGTGAAAATAAACGATTCCCAGTGATGACAGGATAATACGATGCTGTGTAATATTCAGACCCTTGAACTTTTATGGCTTCCTTTACATGATTCTTTGCTACATGGTGTGGGAATAAATCTATTTACATTGTTGTATGGGGATGAGAGTTTCACATTTTAGTGAATTAGTGGCTCCTTCTTTTGCAATGCTTGTACTTCAGTTGTGTCATAAGCAAGCTTTTTTCAAAACATTTTGTGATTACACACAGTTAGGGGCAAAACTGGTTTTAAAACATGGCTGACAGGAGTGTGCATGTGCCTCATGGGCCTCAAAAGACGCTAAGTTCAGATGTTATTGAATACAAGTGAGGATATCAAGTATACACGTGTGGTACAATGAATTAAAATAGTATTATGTTGTTTGCATTATAAACATAATAATAGATACCAGGGAGTGATTACAAGGCTGTAATTTCACCTCAGGGTTCATTCAAATTATAGGCTTTGCTCTCACAGTCTGGCATCTACATGCCTTAGTATCCTTGCTGATGTGTGATTGCCTCAAAGAATCCAATTGCTTCTGGGTCTGTTTCGAACAGGTAAACAGATCGGGAGTTTTGTTGAGAACACATTGCAATCCTAATTTTACATTGCAATAGGAAGGCTGTAGATGCCATATATCGTGTTGTCTTGTCTGCAGGGGTGCAGCGTGAAATAATAGCTGGGTGTTTGTTTGGTGCTCTGCAGCTCACACCCTGCCTGCAGTTTGACAGATGAACTGATCTTCCAGTCTAGCCTGAGCGCTCGCAAAGGGGACAGCTTTCATTGGTGCTTGTGCACAATCCTGCATCTTCATTGGCCTACCAACCCTTCTCCCAATTGGTCCAACACAACCAGGACTGTGATTGGTGGTCGTTACTTGCGTCTCTGTGCTTTCATTGGCAGTGTGTGTAATCTTTCCAGTGCGATTGGTGGCTGCTCGACCCCTTGCCTTTGATTGGAGGTTGAAGGTTGTGGGTGGGACCTGCTGTTCGCCGGCTGATCTGGGTCCCTTTAAATGTTCCTCAACTGAAAGCAGGAGTGTGAGAGGGTGATTGCTGTTAGGACAATCTGAGGAGGGGGTGGTCTGAATCTCTCTAATGAACAACAGTTCCATCTGTGAGAGAGAGAAAGAGAGAGAGGGAGGGAGGAAGGAAAGAAAAAAACACCATCACAAGGGACTGATAAAGACAAGAAGAGCAGGCACTCCCAAACAAAGGAGCAAGTCAATGCTCGCAATCAGAAGCTGCTGCAGGCACAACCAATTCCATCCTTACCCTCCAGCTGGGCTGCACTGTGGCCAAGTATCCCAGCACTAAGGTGAGGCACCTTGCAACTGCACAACAATAGAAAGAATATTGTTCTTCTGCATCAAACAATAGAAAAGCAAAAAGAGAACACGTGAGCACTGGAACATATTTATTTGTTATGATTGTTTACAGAATAGTAAGGAATGAAATATAACTGCAATAAGAATAATGTTCTTTCTATTAACATGAGCTATAAATGTATATTAATTGTATATCTGTACAATATTGCATGTGCCGAGATTGTTACTCATATATGCGTGCATATATACGAAGTGAGGTGATTCCTGTGGACAACGGAAGGGTGCTAGCTCCAGGAATGGCAATAGCTTCATGCCCATGTATTGGATGCAGCGCAGAATGAGAGAGTGCCAGGCTAATCTTGGCATGATTGTAGCCGGCTAATGAACAGGACAGTGGTTTAAGGCAATCCAGCTGATACCCGACTGCCCTCACCCAATGTATTGTGCCACTGCGGTTTGTGGCGAATTCAGAGGCGTGCGTCTTTTCTCCAAACATTTGCACAGTAACTTAAAAGCAGTATGTTTTTGCATTGCTTAACGAGTGCCACATTTCAGGTTACTGTCCAAAGCAAAAAAAATGTACCATTTCCCCCTTTCTCTAAATGCAGTATTTCCAATACATACCAGGGACCAAGTGATGGGAGCGAGTTCAAAAGGGAGGCTGTTTTATTGTCTGGGGAAAGAAACAAGGTTGTTGTTATAGCTCTGACTCGAGGGAGTCCGAAAGACAGGTGTTGGAGGCTTGTTTTGTAATCAGAAATAATGTAATCTCGCACAAGCAAATCTGCAATTGTTAAGAATTTTCTTTGCAACGGGTGCGTTTTGGGACGTTTTGTATTCAAGTAGCCGTGTTTATATGGGTAGATCAGTTCGTGTGTGTTGAAATAGTATTTAGGGTGGGTGAGAATTACAGGAAGCTTTTAGTCTACGACACCCACGACAGTGCAGCAATGGTCAATCATTTGCTCAGTGCTGTCTGCGAAAGTTTGGAAATGTGTACAAAGCTCATTTTCACCACACCAACCTCTTTTTTTAAAAAAAACAATAAATATAACTGACATTACTGTCCATCGTTATATTCTGAAGCAAAGCCTAACAGAGAATCTCCGGAATAGCCTAGTTCAGTTGCTGCTACATCTTCTGTTTGATCTGTTAGTTTTTATTTGTTTTATTATCGACCTGCTCTTGGTCTCTCTGCCTCTCTGACCATTTTCAGCTCATGCCAATCTCGCAGCTCAGGCAAATTAATGAATATTAAACAGCCTCATTTCTAATCAGTGATCAGCAAGGGACATGAATCTTCCAGATCTCTTTTATTTGCACAATTAGCAAAAAAAAAGCCAGAGAGACCAGATGGGTAAAATTCAGTCTTGCCAGGTGAATTTTTATGGCCGGAGGAAGCAGCTTCAATAGTAACTTTGAAGAGAACTGAAGAAATGTTTGACAGGGTAATCGTGACAAGGCAGTGAGAAATAACTAATTGGATAGCTCTTCCAAAGAGCTAGCACGCCACGACGGGTCGAACAGTCTGCGTTGCATCATTCTCTGTACAGCTCATATATAAACATTTAAAAACCAGCTTACCTTCAGAACGCCGATTGTATCATTTCGCTAGCCTAATGCATTCATATTGTTTTAATTAAAAGATACGCCATAAATGGTCTGTTTCATGAATTCCTTCATCCTGCAGTGTCTCTAAAGCTCCCTCTAAATATTTTCTGCTGATTGAATTTTGAACAGCAAAAGGCCATTTTGCCTCAACGCAATTTTAATAGGAAATGCAATGTCAATGCAATCAGTAGGATTAATATTCAGGGCGGCAAGGCTTGCTGGAATTGACGCTTTATTTACAAGTAGATGTTTCAATATTCTGAAAGGTGCTGGATTGGGGCAGTGCGGGGCGTGTCGCATCTAGCAGTCTGGTCACGCAATATTGGCGATGGTCAGAAACCGATGGAGATGTGACATAAACAGTCAAACAAAGCCGGGGAGGGATGGGAGCTAGAGCTGGCAATTGGAAAGGTGGAGAGACAAAAGCAAACAAGTGAAAACAGGTGGAATTATAGGCAAGAAAAGGAATAAAAAATCGAGACAGCAAATAGTTTAAAAGGTTTGAATGGAAACAGATGAGGATAGATTGGGAGAATGGAAACGGAAGATACCTGAGAGAGAATTGGGGACCGAGAAAGATAATCTTTTTGTTTCCAGTTTTGCAATTTTGAGGAACCCATCTCTCTCTATTGAGATATAATTTTTCACTGTGTTTAACTGAATGTCCCGCTTAAATCAAAGTCCAATTAAAATCTAGACACAGATCAAGTGATTGCAAATATCCAGCGTTAAAGATCTATCTGTAAGCTGACAAAATGAGAGATCTCACATCATTTTCCTCACAACAACAACATCAGCTGGGGGCCATGTGATGACAGCTCCCCACATAGCTTTCACCTTCAAAGCAGCCTCTGTATTTGGTAAACAAACTTCGCTGAAAGGGTGCCAAAACAACATGATGGATTAAACTCAGGGCTCCACATTCACTGCAATTCTAATAAATTGTTATTACAGAAATGGTGAGCAGAGCTCGTCACCAATAGGCGATGAGGATGCTAACCAACGTGATGTGCTCCCCTCACCCATTGGCACTGCCCATGGCAACTGGTTAAAGTTGGCACGGTTCTTTAGGGCATCCCAGCCGAGCCTTCCTTTTCTCATTTGACTTGCAATCAGCAGCAGTTAATTCCAATCTCGAATCAGCCCAGGATATCACATGTACCTCAGCATGAACCATGTGGGTGCCTTGTGTGTGTGTGTGTGTTGTTGAGTCTCAGACAAATCAGTGCATTTGCTAACTGAGCTTCAATCATTCAGACCCTGTGTTGACTAAGAGTCAGGACTGAATGTGCCCTCACAGCTTTGGGTTTTAATTGCACAGACCATGCCAGGTGAAGACCACAGCATTATGGGAGATGCTGTCATATTGCCGGTGGCAATAAAAGCAGATCATCCAGTCTTTTGTTATTTTTAGAATCTTTCTGTGCATAGCTGGGTTGCTGCATATATATAGATGTGACTGCAATTCAAAAAATGCCTGTTGCTGGTAAACACATTTGGTACCCCCTATTATGAAAAATACATAATCCTGGGGTAGTGATTGGAACCAGGTGGATCTTATTGACTATGAGATCCTTGATTGGGTTGTTAACCTGGGCCAATCAGGGAGTCCTGGCTGACAAGATATAAATAGGGGATTCAGAGTCTGCTCACTTCAGGGACTGACTTCAAGCTGGCTGGTCACAACCAGTGTACTGTGCATGTGTAAATTAAGGGTGACTTGGTGACAAAATACCAGCCTCTGTGCAGTTATTTCAGTTATTTAAATGAAAATTCTTTCCCTTCACACATTGAAGCATTTCAATAAGGGGACAACAGTAATCACAGGTGACTTTAATTTATATATAGTTTGGACAAACCAATGGAATTGTGAAGGAGAATTTCCTTGAGTGTGTAAGTAGTGGTTTTTAGGCCAACAGGTTAAGGAACAAACCAGAGAACAGTCTATTCTAGACTGGGAACAATGCAATGAGAATGGGTGAATTAGCAATCTTGTTGTGCATGGTCCTTTGGAGAAGATTGACCATAATATGATAGAATTCTTTCACTAAGATGGAGACTGAAGTAGTCAAATCTGAAACTAGGGTCCTGAATCTAAATGAGGGTTTCTATGAAGGTATAAGGTGCAAATTAGCAGGGATGAATTGGGAAAACTTACTAAAGTGCCTGAATCTAGGAAACATTTTTTATTTCTAAAACCATGTGTGCAAATTACAGCAATTATTCATTCCAGTTTGGCAGAAAAAAAGGGAAAGATGGCTAAACCATGGCTTAGAAAAGAAATTAGGGATGGTATTAGATCCAAAGAGGAAATATATAAAATTGTCAAAAAAAGCAGCAAATCTGAAATTTGCAGGTGACATAGAAACTGATTGTAAAAGCTTCTATTAATATGTGAGGAAGTACATGGTAGACCATTTAGATGAGGAAGCGAATTCACTCAAATTGTTCTGAACCTGTGGAATTTTCTGCCACAGAAGGAAATGCAGGCCAAGTCCCTGAATCTGCTCAAGAAGGAGACGTTGGAAAAAGAGGTGCTTAAGAGAAGGCAAATCATCTCGTGTAGCCCAATGAATAATTGTCCTCACAGAGAGGCTCAGTGATGAATGAGCAGCCCAGGTTGGACCATTGCTTACGGTGTTTTAGATCGACGATTTGTGGCTTTGAATGGATTGATGGGAGTTTTGGTTCAGATGTGTTGATAATGCTTTATTTTTTTTCCCTGTAGGGGCTGAGATTAGAATTCCGAGCTGGAGTTGATTTCGATCCAGTTTGGATCTGCTAACAGCCATGAATTCTTCGCTGATGACCCGAGGAGCCAGCGATGTTCTGGAAGAACTTCAGCTGCTCACAGCTCAGAACCTGGAGAGGTTGGAGGTGAATAAATACTACGAGGTGATTCGAGAGCTGGGGAAAGGCACCTATGGTAAGGTTGACCTGGTTATCCATAAGGTCAGAGGTAAGTAGCAATTGCCACTACACTTTTTTTTCTCAGTTAGTACTCAGACACTTGGGGTTACACTGAAACATCTTCCTGTATTTTAATCCTGACATCCAAAATGGCTCAAGTGGCCTATGCCTGTCACTGATAATCTCTGATAGCTCCCCACACCATCTCCCAAAGTCTTAAGTAAGAATTGTCATGCCCAGCTTTAAAATTCTTCTTGATCTCAATTCTCTGTGTTTCTGACCTTCCCCAATGAGCCTCTGAGGACAAAGTGACCTGACCTTCCAAGCACTTTGCCCTGATGTTAGCCACATTGGTCTTGGCGCAGCTGTCTAGGTCCTATGTACTGAGGATTCTTCTCTACCCCCCTCACATGTTTTCACAACATCCCAAAGCACCTAACAGCCAATGAACCCCTTTGGGAGTGGCCTCACTGTTGTGAGCATGGGAATAGCAGCAGCTAATTTGCGTACAACTAGGCCTTCCAAAACATTGTTTTGTGACATTGACCAGAAAACTCTGTCTGTATAACACTGGTTGAGGGTTTGACCACTTAACCCCGATTCATTTCTTAGAAATAATGCTGTGATGCTTTACATCCACCTGAGGAAGCAGGTGGCTTCATGTCTTAAAGAGAGGCCAGCGCCTCTGACACTATAGTATCCCCTCCATGCTGCAGTGGAGCAGCAAACTACCTTGTGGTACACCACTTTCCAGAGTGTGGCTTGAACCCACAGACTTCCAGGCAGGAGTGCTTCCAACTGAGCCACACTGACATTTATGACACATTTCACATTTCAAGCTTTGGTCACTTCTCCTATCCTCTCCTTCATTGGCTTGGTCTCTGTTTCTGTCTGATTGTGTTTTTGTGAATTGCATTGGGAGCCATTTATTGCATTAAGATACAGTATTATTATAAGATGTTATTGTTATCAGTTGTAGTGCAAAGGTCCCTCCACAAAACCTTGACTAATGTGACTTTACTTCATATTCAATTAAATAATGGCGTACTTCAAGCTAGGCATAACAGTGTATTGCAAAACACTGCGTTGCCCTGGCAACCTGCAATCTAACAGCCCAAAGCTGAGAAGCAAACCTAACTACTAGAGCGACATTCACAGTATTCTTGTGGCTGCTTTGATTCAGATTGTTGAGTTCATGTAGAGCAACACTCAACGTTGACTCATTTATGTTGCTAACATCAGCCACGTTGACTTCAGGAGCCACCAGAGAACTTTTCCATTGGTTGTGGGGATCATTAGCGATTTCAGCATTTATCACCCTGATAGCCATCGAAGTCTAACTTGAGTGATTTGAGTTAGAGGTCAGCCAAGCACAAATCACGTTGCGGTATATCTGAAGTCAAGCATTGGCCAGGCCGGGTAAGGGGGAGAAAATTTCCATCCTGAAAGAACGTTAATGATCCAAATGGGTTTTTACAACAATTTGTTAGTTTCATGCTGACCGTTAACAGGCTGTCTCTTCCAGATTAATTTAGTTAACTGAACTCAAATTCCACAGTTGCAGTGGTGCAACTCAGACTTGTGTTTCTACATCATTAGTCTAAACATCTGAGTTACAATAACAGTAACATAACCAATATGCTACCATTGGAGATCTTCATTGGTCAATGTTTCAATGGATAGCCAGTTCCTTGAGGTGACTAGACAGTAATCTAATGCACTCCCATCCACACTCCCACAATAAGTTACCCCTGACGGGTTTGGATCAGGACTTCTGATCGAGAGGTGTTTATATAGAGAAGGGAATTGCCAAACATATGGAACAACATCATTGTTTTCCAGGAAAAAAAATGTTGTTTGTCTTCAGGCAATCCCAAAATGCTTTACAGCCAATGAACTACTTTTGAAGTGTAGTTATTGTCGGTAAAATAACAATCAATTTGCACAGAAGTCACTGCCACTGGGTAAAAACCCTAGAATTCCTTTCCTAACAGTTCTGCAGGTGTCCCTATATTCCAAGGACTGTAGCGGTGCAAAACAGAAATCACTACAACCTTCTCAAGGACAATTATGAGCAATAATGGCTGGCTTAGGCAGCAATTCCCGCAGCTCATGACATTCCTTTTTTGGAAAAGGCAAGGAACAGATAATGTCATAGTAATGTTGATTCAGAGACTATATTGGACAGAACTCATTCCTCTTAAATGCATGTCTCTTATATCCACTCAAGAGGGTTGGCTGAGGAGGGGCAAGGCCAAAAGACAGCACCTCCAACAGACTTGCTCCCTTTAGTACTGCCTTAGGATGTCCATCTACAGCTTGTGCTCAAGTCATTGGGATGGGACTTGAACCCAAAAACTCTCAACTCAGCAGTAAGAGTGCTGCTAACTGAGTCAGGGACATACCCAGAGAGAGGGAATGCTGGCCCCTGTGAGATGTTGAAACAGAGACCCCTTATCCATTGAAAGAGCACATTACTGCAGATGCTGGAATCTGTACTGAAAGCAAAAATGCCAGAGATCACAACGGGTCAAGCAGCTTCCATGGAGAGAGAGCAAGCTAGAGTTTCGAGTCTAGATGACTCTTCATCATCCATTGAAACTGTGGCACAGATTGTCATCCAGAACTGGTCATGATGTTGGGTTCCGGTTGGCTTGGTTATTTGAAGGTTGAAGATTGCACTATCTCATCACCCCACTATTTCCCATGAAGCATCTTTTCTGCACATTGATAGTTCAAAGTAAATCTTTAGCTGTGAATACAAACTGATGGTCAGGGCATTCTTACACTCTAAACGCCAATTATTTCTGTATCAATCTATTGAAATCAGAATAATTGACTGCTGTTTATGGCATCTTTGTGCAACACGGCTGCCGTACTGGTCAATATATTACTGCACTTGAAAGCGGTTTGTTGTTTGAAGCATCCTTGGTATGGAGTGGAGTACTATCTGAGTTATTTATTTGGAGCATTGTGCTTTCTGTTCCAGTGTTAGGTGTAACCTTGTCTGGGTGTGGTGGTATAATTTTCAGGCCTTTCCATAAGAGCACAAACTGAACATGAATGTGACAGTTGACGTGCTTGAACAGAGCTGACAATTTGGGAACTAGAAGTCTGCAAAAGGGTGGAGAGACATTCAGCTAATCCGGGCAATTTGTTGTTCAATAGGAATTTAATTATTTAGCATTCTATAAGGAGCTGACAATACATCTATTGATTGTTTGGACGTGCCTGCATGCGCGGGTGTTTGTGCATGCTCAAGTTGTTGCCTTTTACTTACATGTACAGCTTGTGTGTGCGTGCGTATGTGTGCGCGTAAGCATTTGTTTTGGCACACAGTTGTCTGTGACACTTAAAGTCATTGGGGAATGCACACAAGGGAGAAATCCTCTCTGTCCAATTTAGAAACAAAATAACTTGCATTTATGTAGCACCTTTCATGACTCCCAAAACTAATGGAGTACTTCCTTGAACTGTAGTGGTGTAGGAAACGTGGCATTAATTGTTCACAGCAAATCCCCACAACAGGCATGTGATAATAACCAAATTAGGTGATGCTGATTGAGAGGCAGAACACAAGGGAAAATGCTACTGCTGTTCTTTGTAAAAGGACTACAGGATCTTCTACACCCATCTGAGAGGGCAGTTGGGCTTCAGTTTAACATCCCATCCAAAAAGTAATGTAACATCATCCCCTACTCCCCTCAGCACTAGAGGGAAATATCAATGTTGGCTTTACACTCAAGTCTTTATCATTGCAACATGAACACACTACCTTATGATGCAACCCAGCATATTCCCTCACTGTTGGCACATCTTCCATTTGCTGAAACTCAATGAGCCTTGGGTGCAGGGGGCCAGTCTTAAAAATGATACAGAGTGCACATAGATACACAGGTTTAAATGAAGCATTTTATCATATACAGGACAGGTTAATGTACATGTAATATTTCTGGATTAGCTGTTTAGAGATCTCCAATAATGATACCCAGTCTGAAACATTACCATATCTAACTAGCTTTGCTGAGTTGTCCAACATATTGATATCTAATGATGCCCAGTGTTTTAAGATGAAACCTCACCACTGCTCATCATATTGTATGAGTTCTCTAGTTGAGTTACTGCCACCATCCCCTTTCCTGGTCGGGATGTACAGATCCTGCTTGGTCCAGAGTATGAGAGAAAAGATGGACTTTATTATCTGTTAGCAACTAAGTACAAGTTACATTAATATCATAGACATTGTTATAGAGACTATGGATCATAATCATCATCATCATTGTCAATCTTCCTCTCTCAGGATGAGTCTGTAGGTGGCAGTATAGTCCAATATGGCTTCTGCAGGCTCTGCCATACTTGGGGCAAAAGGTGATTGCACTAAAGGGTGGGTGGGGCGTTGTTGTGGCAGCGCATTCCTTACGCTGTCTTCAGCTGGTTTTCGTTTTTTCCCAACAGCAAGTCTCAAGGAGCTGAATGCTTTGGACCAGTGATTCCCAAGTGTTGATCTTACCTCTTGGAGATCCTGAGCTGTTCTCCCCTGAGTCTATATAACATCATCATAACAGATGGCACTGATGGCTTCCTCAGTTTTTACCATTCCAGACCCTTATACATCCTTATACAAAACCCAGTTTGCTTTTTGTAGCAATCTCTATCCAATGAGAGATTAACTGATCCAGTCAGCGTGAGATCAAATCCTAACCAGTGCAATTCATAAATATGGATTCAGTTTCAAAGGTAATTTAGAAATGGCATCAAAGTTGGCTTTTCCTAAGAAGCTAACTGGTTAGCTAATGCCCATTAGGGAAGGAAGCTGACTGTTCTTATCCAGGTTGACCTAAATGTAATTTCAGTCAACCTAATTGATTCAAAACTACCCTCTGAAAATCATTCGGTCTCATCTTTGGAATGCGTTATAATAGTTATACAGTAACATCCATATTTTGACAACAAACACCCCTTTTAAAAAATTGTCAGCACCAGCAATCCAGAATAGTCAAGAAAAATTTAGCAAGGAAATGAAGAGAAATCATTTTTGCACAACCAATTCTGGAAAGCAGTCCAAAAGAGTAATGGAAGCAAACTCAACAGAAACTTTCAAGAGAATTGAAGGGAAAATTGCAGTGTTGGGGGAAAGAGTGGGTGGAGTGGGACTAAATGGACAGCACTTTGAAAGAGTTGGCACATCCTCAATTGATCTTCTTCTGTGCAGTACAATGCAGTGATTCTAATGGACTAAAGTTCTGCAGTATACAATAGGAACTAGATTATAGTAGTCTCTGAGCACACAGTGCTGACAAAAGTTCATTTTGTTCAGGCAAATCCCATTTTTGATACGGCGCCTGAATTTGAAAGTAAGATCAACTAGAATGACTCAACAGTGAGAGTTCAGTTTCCATCAAAAACTGAAGGGAGGGCTTAGTGTGTGTGGCGTCAGCGACTCTATAAATGAATGAGGAAGTGAGAAATTGATATGTCAGCACCAACTACTTTTCTCAGTATAAATCCAGCGTTGTTTCTTTCAGTTCTCACTGACTTTGTCATCTGTGGGGAGTGGAACAGTTAATGTTTCAGGTCTGGTACGACGGTTTCAGAATTCTGTTTCAGGATTTCTGACCAAGCCTGTTGAGTTTCTCCAGCATTTTCTGTTTCTATTCCTGAAATATATGATAGCCAGCTCTAATTGCAATGCATTCTACAGATTACATCACTTGTCCTCCCACTTCAAACTACTCCACCCAATGGCTTTTCTTCCATCTTTAATAATGTTATAATAAATTTAAAAAATAGGGGTTAAATGAAAATTGAGAAAGCCGCACACACTTTTTGAGTGTTGTGATGATTTTTTTTTCTCTTGAGGTTTTTCACAGTAGTGTTGTGAAGATTGATCTTTGATTCCTGGAGACTTGGATGCCATATACCAACTTCAGTGGCAGCCCTGAAACTATGAAGTGATTTTGATAAACTTCTTTAGATTAAATACTTTGAAGGTATTCAGATCTCCATTCAGTGAAGTAATAGGTGGTTTGTATCTGATGCTGTTCTCATGCTACAGACCATTTCCAAACCGATAACTGGGCAATCTCATCTTGTACCCAGCAAGGTCCTAGTGGACAGTGAGCTCCCCCAAATGGCAGTAAGAGGTACCACGGCTTTTCAGTGCATAGTATTCCCTGATGCAATGCTCCGTACTCCGCATATGGAGATATTGCAGCACCAATGACAGTAGGAAGCACAGCTCAGGTCTCCCATCCAGTGAGACTTGTGCTTGAGAGAAAACCCACAGTGTTAGCCCAACCCCATCCCATAATCAAATGTCTCTGTGGTTTCGCCAGCTACCTTTGTGACTTCACCCAGCTCTACAACACTCTAAGACCTTTGACTTCATGTAAATCTGGTCTCTCGCAGACCTCCACTTGCATTAGCCCACTGGAAGCTGTGCTTCTATTTGTGTAGACTTTGACCTCTACATCTCTCCCACCTCGACCTCTCTCTCTCCCTTTAAGTCTCCATTAAAATTTTTCTCTCTGACCAAGCGTCTGTTCATGTGTCTCACTATCCTTTTGTTGGTTCAATATTTGTTTGATTATGTTCTTCTGTATCTGAATGGATAGTTTTGGGATGCGTATTTCACATTTTTCTGATTTGTGGTATGATTAATAAACAGCACATAAACAAATGATAGGCAGAAGAAAACTAATTGGTTCCTCAAGCCTACTCCACAGCGTATAAAGTCTACAGGGTCTGACAACATTCAGGGCATGGCTGTGAAGACATGCTCCAGAACAAGCTGTACCACTAGCCAAGAGATAACAAGGTGTAGAGCTGGATGAACACAGCAGGCCAAGCAGCATCAGAGGAGCAGGAAAGCTGACGTTTCAGGCCTAGACCCTTCCCTGAAATGTCAGCCTTCCTTCTCCTGTGATGCTGCTTGGCCTGCTGTGTTCATCCAGCTCTACACCTTATTATCTCAGATTCTCCAGCATCTGCAGTTCCTACTGTCTCTGTACCACTAGCCAAGCTGTTGTAGTATGCTACAACACTGGTATCAACACCAGAATGTCAGAAATAACCCAAGGATGCCCTATCCACAAACAGCAGGACAAATCCAACCCAGTCCAATTAATGCCGCATCAGTCTCTTCTTGATGGCTGTTGTCATCAATAGTGCTATCAAGCAGCACCTGCTCAGCAATAACCTGCTCAGTGATGCCCAGTTTGGGTTCCACCAGGGCCACTCAGCTCCCGACCTCATTACAGCCTTGGTTCAAACATGGACAAGAAGAACTGAATTCCAGAGGTGAGCTAAGAGTGACAGCCCTTAATATCAACAGTGTTTGACCAAATGTGGCGTCAAGGAGACCCAAGTAAAATGGAATCATTGGGAATCAGCGGGAAAATTCTCTGCTGGTTGGAGTCCCATCTCACTCAAAGGAAGATGATCGTGGTTGTTGGAGGCCAATCATGTCAGCTCCTGGACATCTCTGCAAGAGTTTCTCAGGGTAGTGTCCTAAGCCCAACCATTTTCAATTGGTTCATCAGTGATCTTACTTCCATCATAAATGTCAGAGGTGATGACCTTTACTGATGATCGGACAATGTTTGACACTGTGACTTGTCAGATACTAAAGCAGTTTGTGCAGCAAAATACAGAGAACATTCAACTGATAGGTGTCAATGAACATGTACCCAGCCAATGATCCTCTCCGACAGGAGAAAATCTATCTACGCTAAAAGCCTCACTATCAATATCTTGGGAGTTACCATTAACCAGAAACTGAATTGGGCCAGCCATGTAAATACTGTGGCTACAACAGCAGATCAGTGGCTAGGAACATTTTTGGAAACTAACTGTGCAAAATCTCAAAGCCTGTTGACAAGGCCAAACTCGGGAATATGATGGAATAGTCTCCACTTTCCTTGATGAGCACAGCTGCAATAACACTGAAGAAACTCAACAGCATCCAGTACAAAGCAGACCCACTTCACTTGCACACTATTCACCGCCTAAATGTTCACTCGTTACGTCACTGATGCACTCTGGTTGCAGGTGTAGCGTCTACAAGATGCATTGCAACAACTCATCAGTGTTCCTTTGTCAGCAGTTTTCCAAACTGAGAACCTCTACCACCTACAAGGACATGGGCAGCGGATGCACAAATACCTACAAGATCCACTTTTAAGCCACCCACTTAGAACCTTGTTGCCATTCCTTCCTTTTGGTCAAAGTCATGGAAGTCTCTTCCCAACAGCACTATGGCTGTCCCTACACCCAGGTGTTGTCGCTGTTCAGGAAGGTGGTTCACCACCACATTTTCCAGGTCAATTAGGGCTGGGCAATAAATGCAGGCCCAGCCAGGGATAATCGCAGATGTGACGACAAGAAAATGACCCGTGAATAGGTACATAGGGAGATAATTAGAGTGGCTTCTCAAATGGCTCAGGCCTTAAGATACAGTATCTAAACAGGTCAGTGATGTTCCAGTGTTGATCCTTGATTTGTATGAGTTGACTTCAGGT